GATCTGCTTGCCTTTCTGCGGCAGCGCGGCTCTGCCGAGCCGAAATAAGTGGGAGGCGTTCACTTGATCGAACGCAGTTTTAGCGAATGAAAACGAGACGACGACTTTTCATCGAATGACTAGCGAATGGGTCTAGTTACATAGACAGCTCGGATTAGCTTTCTTTTGTAATGTGGCGCCTTGTCTGCCGCTGCGAAGCGGCGTAAACGAGGGCTCCGAGTATGTTAGCACGCGTCCCCCCCCCCTCCCCACACACACACACACACAAACACACACTGCGAGCGTCTGGGTTCGAAACTATTAATTGCCAGTTCTAAAGGATGGTACTTACTTGAAGTGGGAGCTGGAATTCTACGAGGTACCAGGAGACACTTACTATCGGGCAACGAAGCACGGTGCCTGTGGGGGCGGAGTCTAGGAACGCTACTGATTAATATTGTGACAGGCGATCAGTTATGATAGCAGACGAAACTTCGACTCGTTTGTTCAGAAGTTCGCGGTGATATTTTATTAGCCCTCGTTACAGCACACCAAGGATCTTAGGCAGTGAAATTCACATCACGCAGGCTCGTCCGTCGTAGTCAAATGAGCGCAGTCGACGACGAGGTGTAATGAGCTACTAAGCTTCACAAGGAAAATGCGCGTGAGAAAGAGTTTTGAGGAAGTCCAAAACACCGATCCAGCAGACGCACGTACGTACGTTTACTCCGGACTTCATGAACCCGACGGCGCAAGATCAAAGAGCACCGCCGCCATCGCCACCCGGTTTTCTCTGCACTTTGCGCGACGACGGCACTGCAACGGAGGGCACTCGCCTCGGCGTTAACAATCCGCGAAATAGATTAATTTCCCACTCTTGAAGCCATTCCAAATGATAAATAAAAATACCTCGGCCTTGTTGAACATCTGACGACACAACCAACACAACTGTACCGCTGGCTGCGTGAGCCTGACACAACTGTGCCGAGCGCCTGCTCGGCACCGTTGTTGATGGTGAAGGCCTGCTTATTTGAAGTTGAGACGATGATTCCACATCTTTCGTGGTGCTTGCAATAACTTCGAAGGGCAGGGGAACCTTCTCACGAGGACGTTGAAGACACTCAACACCGGAGCCACCAAAGCAATCGCACAAACCGTCGCCATGTTTGCTTCTTCGTCACTCGCGGCGCGGTCAACTCGTCGCGAGATTTTTCCGGCTCGGCTAGATGAAAACCAACAGCGGCAAAGTGGCGTATGGACACACGGCTCTCACATTACGGGCACTATACTCACATACCGCGGTAAACAGGACCGATGCCGGCGAAACGGCAGTCGGCACACGAGCGAAGAAGCCCTCAACGGGAACCGGCGGCGCAAGCCGACGCAGCCCCCCCTCCCCGTGAGCGTCTGGGTTCGAGATTATTGTTCGCTTTTGCTCCTTGCGGTCCAGGCTAAAAAGAGCACTTCCGGACAAAGGTCTTAGACCTTTGTCCGGAAGTGCTCTTTTTAGCCTCGACCGCAAACCTTTGTCCGGAAGTGCTCTTTTTAGCCTCGACCGCAAGGAGCAAAAGCGAACAATAATCTCGAACCCAGACGCTCACGGGGAGGGGAGACCTTTGTCCGGAAGTGCTCTTTTTAGCCTCGACCGCAAGGAGCAAAAGCGAACAATAATCTCGATCCCAGACGCTCACGGGGAGGGGGGCTGCGTCGGCCTGCGCCGCCGGTTCCCGTTGAGGGCTTCTTCGCTGGTGTGCCGACAGCCGTTTCGCCGGCATTGGTCCAGTTTACCGCGGTATGTGAGTATAGTGCCCATAATGTGAGAGCCGTGTGTCCATACGACACTTTGCCGTTGTTGGTTTCCATCTAGCCGAGCCAGAAAACATCTCGCGACGAGTTGACCGCGCCACGAGTGACGAAGAAGAAGCAAACATGGCGACGGTTTGTGCGATTGCTTTGGTGGCTCCGGTGTTGAGTGTCTTCAACGTCCTCGTGAGAAGGTTCCCCTGCCCTTCGAAGTTATTGCAAGCACCACGAAAGATGTGGAATCATCGTCTCAACTACAAATAAGCAGGCCTTCACGAGCAACAACGGTGCCGAGCAGGCGCTCGGCACATTAGTGTCAGGCTCACGCAGCCAGCGGCACAGTTCTGTTGGTTGTGTCGTCAGATGTTCAACAACGCCGAGGTATTTTCATTTATTATTTGGAATGGCTTCAAGAGTGGGAAATTAATCTATATCCCGGATTGTTAACGCCGAGGCGAGTGCCCTCCGTTGCAGTGCCGTCGTCGCGCAAAGTGCAGAGAAAACCGGGTGGCGATGGCGGCGGTGCTCTTTGATCTTGCGCCGTCGGGTTCATGAAGTCCGGAGTAAACGTACGTACGTGCGTCTGCTGGATCGGTGTTTTGGACTTCCTCAAAACTTTTTCTCACGCGCATTTTCCTTGTGAAGCTTAGTAGCTCATTACACCTCATCGTCGACTGCGCTCATTTGATTACGACGGACGAGCCTGCGTGATGTGAATTTCACTGCCTAAGATCCTTGGTGTGCTGTGACGAGGGCTAATAAAATATCACCGCGAACTTCTGAACAAAATAGTCGAAGTTTCGTCTGCTATCATAACTGATCGCCTGTCACAATATTAATCAGTAGCGTTCCTAGACTCCGCCCCCACAGGCACCGTGCTTCGTTGCCCGATAGTAAGTGTCTCCTGGTACCTCGTAGAATTGCAGCTCCCACTTCAAGTAAGTACCATCCTTTAGAGCTGGCAATTAATAGTTTCGAACCCAGACGCTCGCAGTGTGTGTTTGTGTGTGTGTGTGTGGGGGGGGGGGGGGGACGCGTGCTAACATACTCGGAGCCCTCGTTTACGCCGCTTCGCAGCGGCAGACAAGGCGCCACATTACAAAAGAAAGCTAATCCGAGCTGTCTATGTAACTAGACCCATTCGCTAGTCATTCGATGAAACGTCGTCGTCTCGTTTTCATTCGCTAAAACTGCGTTCGATCAAGTGAACGCCTCCCACTTATTTCGGCTCGGCAGAGCCGCGCTGCCGCAGAAAGGCAAGCAGATCGCGAAAATCGGTCTCAAACGTGCCACGAATGTAATGTCGTATACAAGAAGCCAACAATCAAGCATTTGAAAGCTACAAGAAAGCGGTAGCGAAATATTTACTACGCAATGATCCCGGACTGAAACGCGGATGTCAAGGGTCAGCAGACACCGAGAACATCTAAGACAAGAAAGGTTTTCCCTTATTTTCCTTGATCGAGATGGGTTCTCGAATGTTCACGACATCTTGCCTGTTGAAGAACGGGCCGCAGAGGCTTCTGGTGAAGACATCTTTCACGATGTGTCGGTGCATTCGGACAGCCTGCCGCATCCAGCTACCCAAAGCAACGCCGCCAACGCAGCCCCCCCTCCCTGCCTGCCAGTTCTTTCCGCGTGGTGGCGCGAGCGTAGATAAACATGGCGGCGCCCTGGAATTGGCGCGGACAATGGTCTATACTTGGAGCGCCTGGCATCGACCAGTAAATGCACACCGGCTTTTCAGAGCGCTCCAAGAGGCCGAAAAACGACCAGTCGAATATACCATTAGTTTGGGCAGGACGACCTGCCCAAACATTTAGTTTGGGCAGGTCGTCCAGGACAGAGCCGTGCGTGCGTTTAATCGACCTCTTTTTTGGGTACCGACTAAAAAACCGATTAACCGGCTAAAAATGTTAATCGCGATTAACGCCTTAATCGATTAATCGGAAGGTTAATCGATCAATTGCCCAGCCCTAGTTGTAACTGGTCATTGGAAACCTCGGTCGGCTTGGGCGTTGGTCGTCTCGTCAAGTTCGAGGAGCGGCCATTTTGAGCGGCCGACCGTCTCGGGCGGGTCGCTCCAAAAAATGCGAGCCCATCTTCAGCTCGTCGATTTGGAGCGTGTCCCACGGAGCGAAATTTTGCCTCCTTCGCTGATTTCGGAAAGCGCTCCGGATCTACCACTGGAATTCACCATAAGAGATCTGGAACGTCTACTTTCCCGCAACGCACTTAGGTGAGCCAGTCGCTGCAACCTTCAGGGGGAACTGTGTGAATGACGAGGCTGTGTCTGAATCTAAAAGTATGCGCAGCGACACTGAGCATGACGTGAGCACGTGAAACGTCCTGCTCAATGTCGCTGTGCAATCTGTTTTTTCAGGTCCAAACATATTTACATTCAATATCCGCCAAGCCCCACCCTTAGATTGCTGCAATTGGTTCCCCGAAATCCTTTACGGGAAAGTAGGCGCACTGAATTTTTTGGGGTGTATACGAGTCGTGTACACCCTTCTTTTTATATTGTACACAGACTTCAAACTACACCCTTATTTGTATGTGAAAGCTAGGGTATGGAGCTCTTATCAGTTAACTAGGCTCTAACGTAATCTGTGAGGGGCTGCTGATTATCATCGTGGAAACATGTGCAGAGCCAGGACGTCCTTGTGAAACATATTTTAAAACCAAAAGGTCAAGAACGCACTCCAATTTACTTTTGGAACATCACTTGCACATACTTGCATCAGTTACAATAGCTATATCAATAACTAAAAATTAAAATTCCAGTTTTTTTTAATAATTTGAGAAGCTATTTTTTATTATTCACGTAGGAATCGTTGTTACAGTATATTTCCAGAAAATGGAAGACGAAGTCTGGCGAGCATAATATCTCTCGCCAGACTTCATGTGATGGCCCGGCCTTCGTGATTTTTCTTGTTGTTGTATTATCTTGCTTTCTAGTCCTCTCTGTCGCCGACCGGATCGTCCCAACACTATACTATACCCCATTAAACGCGAACTGTTTTATAGATTGCGCCATAAAGAAATCTATCTTTCATTATATCTAGTTTCATTATATTGAAAACCTCCACAATGAATACCTGTACTTGCGCATATATTTTTTTTTAATTCTTGTTTATTACAAGTGAAATTTAAAAAAAAATTATCGCAGGTTACATGTTAGTTTTCATGTGGCTTGTGGAGCCTGAGGACCTCAACTATTCTGTCAACTTCTCTATTTCCTGGGCAACCTTTGTTTTGAGGTCTCGTCTCAGGATCTTTCCGTTGTCGGACTTGGGAAAAGATTTCATGAAGAAAACACCTCCATACAGTTGCTTGAACACTGCTGCTTGACCTTTGAAAAAGAAACCAAGGTTAAACGAAGATGCATATTAATCTAATTAATAACCGGCAAGCTCATGTAACAATTATTGTGCATATAAAAAGCACAAAGAAGTTTACGTTTTTTTTTCATGTGGTTTTGAGAATCGGGGAAAAAAGCATGGCGCAAACAAAGCACATTTGCTCCTGCCGTGCTTTCGGCATTGTGGAGGGCAAGTAAATTAGTATTTTCTTTCATAGTCACCTTCAAATAGAAGTTAAAGCAACATAGCCATGTACCCCGCTAGATAATAGCCGGCTCCAAAATGTTATCCACAACCTTTTCGGACACTCTTATTTCTGCCACTAAATTTTTAATTGAATACTTCGAATCTTTAAGAGTAATATATATATATAGCTCTATCAACCAAAAACGACACTCGAATATTCAGTGTTTTTATATTCTTGGTAAAAACAAAACAGTGAATTTTCTCCTTTCACGAAAGCTTAACGTGACTTCTTAAATGAAATAAATGATAAAAAAATAATAATAATCTACGCTAAAACATGTGGCCTCGGTATGACTACTCGCATTTTATAGAAGTTTTTTTTGCTTTACTTTAAATATTTTATTGTGGACATGCAGTTATTTTTGTAGGATTTTGTGCACACGGTGAAACCAAACCAAATTTGTGCGTGATTCTTATAATTTAAGCTTTAAAGTGTGCAAGTTAGACATGCTTATAACCCACCAAAAACAAAATTGGGATATTGGAAAGATATACCAGCAACGAGCTCCTTCAGTTCCGTCGCCAGACTGTCAAGGTTTTTCTCGAAGCCGCCTTTGACAACGATGCAGGCTGTTGGAGCCTCGCCATGCTTCGCGCTTGGAATACCTACGACTGCGGCCTCCGCGACAGCCTCGTGGGTCATCAAAAGTTCTTCCAGCTCAGCAGGAACGACGACATTATCCATGCATTTTATCATCTGTTTCAGTCTCTCAATGACATGGATCCGTCCTTCAGTGTCGTAGTAGCCTAAATCTCCTGAAAACCAAATCAAATTTCGTCAATATTTAGCGCTCCTTGTTGTGTGGGTTTGAAAAAAAATAAGTACGAAGGCGTTTTTTTTTGTTTTTTTTTTTTTGCTATGTGGTTTTTGTTTATTTTTTGTGTGCATTGCAAATGAAAGTTTAGGTATTCAACACGCAATTCGAACTTACATTTTTGGCCACTATATGGCAATATTCCATTCGAATTCGATTCGAGTCATTTCCTTATTGGCACACTTCAAATCCCCTTCAAGAACAAGTTCTGATTGATAAGTTTAACGCCCCACTGAGTTTGAAGCGATGCCCCACGAGAGGACTAGTCACCTCTCAGCCAACATAGGTGTGGTTCAATCGGCGATTTGCGGCAGGTGTTGTGTATGGTTAGCTGCCACGTGAGGAGTTCGGAAACAAGACAAAAGTGATGATAACCCGCATAAATAGGCATTTATTTTCTAACAAACGCTCGCTCAGTCAAGCGCATGGCCAGAAGTTAGAAGATGCATGCACCATGACTATCGGTCATACGCATAACACAATAAACAGAAGAACGTTCACTACATGACATACGCCAACAGATAGGCTTCTAGTAATGCGCCACTGCACGCTTCCAAGCGCACACCTAGCACACGGCGATGGCATTTGAGGTAGGGTCGCAGTGAAATGTGGCGTCATGTGAAAACTTCATATATAAATAAAGCCCACTATATTTTTGTCTACATGGTTGGCTGACCATCAAACCGTAGAGTTTTGAGACTAGCTTTATGGTTAATATTTGCCCTATGACATGTCCACATATATCGCAATACGCATTTAAAGGCACCAGGTCTTAGCGGACACTATGGGCTATCATAACACGCCAGTCCGATAACTATACAGGCGCAATAGAGATATTTGGCTTTGATCGAGAATACCATCATTCTTATGATTTAGAATAAAAAAAAAAAAACACGAAGATGAGATGAGCGTGGTACCTGTACGGAACCACCCATCGCTGCTCAAGGCTTCAGCAGTAGCTTCGGGACGCCCAGTGTAGCCCTTCATGATGCCTCGGGCGTGAACCGCAATCTCGCCATTCTGATGCGGTCCGAGAGAATCTCCGCTGGTTATGTCTATAACCTGGGGCATAACATTAGGTCATCAGTTGCTTTTTTTTCAGAATAATATTTACTGGAAGAGACAGCTGCACTACCGTTACCAGAAATAGTCAAATACTGGTAAAAAAAACTGGTAATGAATTGTCCGATTGTAGGCGCACACCTAGATAGTTGAATAAAACTATTTTCTTAGCATGAAAGTTGTATATAGTAGGGAGGTAATGCTAAAGTAAACCGAGGTAACTCAATGGCATGGCACTTCTTTAGACAAGAGGATATAGGATAAAACATACGAAGCATTCAGAAAGTAAGTACCCTTCGTGGATTGGTTTCGTAAAAATAGTAACTTCCGGGTCACGCATGAGTAGTGTTTCCTCGTATGTGCATTAGTCTCCTGTTTAAGAATAGCCCATCAAACTTCGAAGTTCGGTCTGTGATACCATTTTTGAAAACGACAAATGTCTAATCATGCAGAGCCTGAAATTTCATCGACAAATTTACGAAATATATATAGACTAAACTCAATGAGTAAAATAATGGAGCAAAAACAGGTCCTAATGCTTAAAGCAATGTCCGAAAGCGCTCATAACGAATCGAAATGCAGTAGGCCATCTCTAGGCACGAAATCCTTGGTAAACGAAGTGAATGAAAACATCCACGATTTGATGTTTTACACATCTGCTTTTGCAAAATATGGCCTGAAATGTTTAAATCGTTTCTTCACAAAATATTTAAAAACACTTCAGTAGTACAAATTGTTTTCAAGATGTTGGCTGAAGTCTCATGCAGCAGACTTCTATTAGGAGTGTAAAGAAACGCTTGGGTCACAATATAGCAAATGCCTTCAGATCAAAGGAAATTGCCTCGACGGGCCTCGTATGCCCGATCCTTCCTTAAAGGGGTACGCAAACGAGCTTATCGCTCTTATTTCTTTATTTCGAAACACTCCATAAAGAAAAGGGTGTCATTTTAGACCCTTTTGTCCCATAGAATGCACCCCAAAACCTCAGTTTGACGTACTCCGCCCTATAGTCGAACAGACGCCCTCAACTTTTACGAGAGGCTTGATAACGGTGCGATATAACTTCTGAAATAGCTAATGTACCGTCACAAAAAAAAAAAAAAAAAAAAAAAAAACATTAAGGTCTTGCAGTAAAGTCAAGGAAACCCCGTTAATTTTTTTTGTAGACAGTAACACGTACATTACCTATTTTAATAAGTTGTACCACACAGTTATCAAGCCCCTTGTGAAAATTAGTACCGTCACATCTACGTCAGTGCGCTGTATGTTGAACTGAGGTTTTGGGGTGAATGATATGAGAGAGGTGTGTAATAATACACCCTTTTTTAGAGTGTATGGTCAATGTAGTGGGGACAGCCCAGAAACACTAGGCTAGACTATTCTTTCTGGGTGCCGGTAGAAAAAGTCAAGAAAACTAATTCCAAAACTAATAAACACATTTCAAGATTGTGCCTGGTGGCAGTCTGTGAAGCTCTGTTGGAATCGCGCCACGTCATCGGCATCTATGAAGGAGCGTCAGTTCGCGGCAGTATGCCTCTCTCGTAAAATTACTTATTCCTGAATGTGACTTGGCGAAGAACGCTAACGAGTCTACTACTTTGTTTTTCTTAACTCCCACAATGCTTCCGCTTCGTGCATTCCACACCATCAAGATCGCCGTTCTTTGCAGACGTTAGTAGGAGCTTTATTTGAGGATTCGGCGACCTCTGCCAGGTCACGGCCACTCGATTAGGACTCCCCTTGGGAGCGGCCTGCCGTATGCCTCACTCCGCCGGTGAGAGCGATAGTTCTGCTTTACCCCGCAGCGCCAGCCGTGGCGCTCGTTACCGGTGAGAGATATAGTTTCTTTCGGGGGAGCATACCGAGGAACTCTATACTTTGTTTCACGTTAGTACGTACTTGTTAGCCGCGCGTGCTAAAAGTGCGAGATAGTTGCTTCGAAGGAAGCCTCGGCGGCTGCATGAGCCCTCGTGCAGCGAGTGCTCCAGTCAAGGCAGTAAAGGCTAGCCGCTCGCGCTAGCACAGCGTTCACGGTTAGTCCATGCTAAGGTAAGACGAAATATAGTGAGAAAGGAGCAGTACGCCCGGCCCGGCCCGGTGTGGCTATTTATAATTTTTTTTTTTTCCATGAAGCCGCAAGTCTCAATTGAAACGAGTGCCAGATTGCATCAATGATGTGACAAATCTGCGTAGAATAAAAGCACATGATTCTTTCTGCGAAAAGCTCCTTCAGCTACAGGCTGCGCGTTAAAGGGATACGGAATCGAAACTTGAAATATAGAGAAAACATCAAGAAATGAGTTCAATATGATCAGCTAAGCCTGTAATGAATAATCGCACGGTCGTATTTTGAGCAGATGGCTATATTTTATGCTCTAAATGCCGCGATTTTGGCGAGCGCTTCAAAATCAGCCATGGAGGAGCGCGATGCATCTCGGGAGATCCGGCAGACGTCTTGACGTCATCATGCCTCGGACGACAGACGAGTTTTGCCACTTGGAGGCGTCAACGCGTTACAATCTCGCTTTGTCGAAGTACCCAAGGGCTGTAGATATCGCGGGGCTAGCAGAGGCAGCAGAGGCGCGGAGGGGCGGAGGTGTCAGAGCTGCTTCAACTGCCTTGAGTGTGCGATGGCGTGTCTACATGACAAGAGTGGTGGCAGCGGCTGTGGGTACGATGACATTAGCGAAGACGAAGACGTCAACAGATCGCTAGTGGCTATGGTGGGGGAAAAGCGATTCGGCTTAGAGCCATATCTGTACGATCCTTCGGCATCGTCGTCCGCAACAGACGAGGAGTCGTCCGACTCTCCGGAAACGCCAGGCTGGCCAGGCAGCCCACATCCACCAGCAGCCCGGCGCGTCGGCACGGCGAATTGGTGAGCCTAGGGTGCCTTCATGTGCGCTTTGCTTAGGGTGGAGACATCTGGCCATTTTGTCTCACACTTTTATTTTTACTTTTTGTTCAGAAGCGCGTGAAAGAACGTCTCCCTGCACGCGCTCGTGGCGCTGACTGTGCTCCGGCGACATTTTGTTTTCGTCGATTTCTTTGTATTTTACCCGTGAGCGCGTGCTGTCAGCATCGGGTACTACAAAGGGTGGCATCACCCTAAACAGAAGGACATTGAGGCACACTAGGTGAGCCTAGTCACAGAAGAGTCCGCGAATGCATTCGCGCGCGCACGTGTAATAAAGCAGCGAGACGATTTAATGACAGCGCGCTAGCCGCGCTGTCATGGATGATGAAAGTACGCTGTCTAAACCAGGGTAGCTAAACTCGTGGAGCAAAACATTCTTCGCTTTTTGACGTAGCGGGGGGAGTGACCAAAAGAACGCCGCAAAGTTTCCTCCTCCCTGCGCGCGCTCAACTTCGCAACTTTTGACGAAAAATCCCCCGCGATTCCTAGGCGATGCACGAGGGCACGAGACAGCGCGGGGAGGCGAGCGTTCACGCCGCTCGCTGTACGTCGTCGTTGGGCTCTCTAGCACCGACAATCCCGTCATGCCTCGCCCAGGCGAGGAGCGATGAGGCATTCGCACAGCGGAACTGAAAGAAAAAGTTGGTTTTCTGCTCGAGATCGCGTCCGGCGGGCCAGAACCTCAAACGCGAGCTTGAATTGTAAGCGTCTGATATTTCACGAAGGGAGGAATCGACGGCCCGTCTTTTATTCGCGAAATTTGAGTCGTTTTGCAGCCGTACAGACGCTGAAACCTACCAGTGTGCAATGAAAGCCACAGAACAACCACAGGGGCCGCGAGATCTAGCATCATTTGTGTATGGGTGAAATGTGCAACATTTTTCGACGAAGCTCCCACGGCAGAAACCTGCGACGCATTCACTCAGCGTCCGGGAAGGCTAAACATGGAGACGTTGCCCGAGACTCAAGCAAAGTCATATATGAATGGCAGCTATCTCACCCCGTCATATTTTGTTTTGAGAAAGCTCCCGTTCTCAATGCCATGGAAATAAAAAGTCTTACGAAACGTATTGCTAGCTGTTCCAAAGAACTAGATTTAAGCCGTATCCTTTCAGTTATTCACTCATAATATTATGCTTAAAACAAAGCAAGCTCTTGCGCGTACAGTGCCATCAATTTCCTCAAGCGTATGCTGTTTTGTAGTCAACTGGTTTCGGAAACTTACGCCGTCTGTAGATATCTGTGACTGCCGAGTTGCTTAAGTGGAGGTCATCGGAAATGTAAGTTCCACGTTGCAGCAACCAACGTTTAAACGATGGCAGCGACTGCACTCTCGCATTCCCACCCATCACGTCGAACAAAAGGGCGCTAGTTTCGGTTTGAGGTCGGTACTTTTCTACAACATCTATGGCGACAGCATCAGTCTGCACTGGGTGTATTCGGCAAGTTCGTTCGGGGCCTGTTCTCCGTGCAGCACTCGGTGGGTGTAATGCATTAGAACTCTCACAGTGCAAGTCTGTATCGCGAATTGGGAGCCCGTCACTGGCCTCACCGGCGGCCATTGCTTGACGACAGGCAATATGCCGCGTCCTGTCTAGTTCTCCCTTCATTTTCGTCCTTGTTGCTTTGGCCTTTTACATCATGAGGCGATACCCGCAAGTCTAAGGAAGAAACATGCAAAAATTGGAAGCTTGTACGCGGTGCTCGAGGGCGAGCATTTTATGATGTGCTGCGATGATTATGTCGGGTTCTTGGAGATCAAATACATTCACCAAGCGTTTGAACATCGATTAAAAAAAAATTGGCCGGAGCACGATTGACTTTACCGACGTCGCTTGCTTCGGTTGCTAAATAAATGGCACGTCGAGTGACTGAACGGCACGCTCCGAGTTTCAGTTTGTCACGAAAGCCCTCACAGGAGTTCAAAGAAAAAGCTTTCACCATGAAGCACTATGTACAAGCGGTGAAAACGGTGCGAAAATCCCTAGTAAAGGCATTCTAACTTATCGTTTGCTGAGCTTTGATGACTCCGAAATCACGGATGACTCCACAATAACTCTCGGTAGCCCCTGTCTCATTAAACACATAACAG